GATTGGTGATGGCTTTTGCCCAACGGAGCCTCGTGACGAAGCTCATCCAACATTGATTCATCACTGGTAAACACCAGGTCTAGAATATTGGGAGTCTGTTTACTTCTATAATGATGTGATTATGATTCACATCATTCACATCTATAATGATTCACATCATGCGTGATGTGAAAAACTTGTGACACTTCTCGCTCTCTCTTCCCTCGTTGTATTGCAATATATTTTTGGGTCGGCACCGACCATGGTAAGGCAGATGTCCAGAGATATGGACTGCGGCGGCGAGCCGCTGCTTATTGTGCAAGTTGCAAGATTTATAATTGGGTTAAGCAGCGTCCGAGACGTCCATTTTTAACAGAATATCTATTCTATGAATAAGTTGAAAATCAAAATTATAGAGTGGCATAAACAAAGCCGATTTTTAATGATAAATGAACCTGTGAAATTAGATTTTTTATGAATGAATAAAAATTTTTGAAGCTGGTACAACAATTACTCCTTGCTTAATTTGCGGAATTCGTTAATCCGCGCTATTTCATTGATCATTCGTTCGCCATGTCAGCAACTTGAGCGTCTTCGGTCGTCCGCGTCAGGTATTACCCTGTCGGCACGAGACTACGATATTCTCGTCAAAGCTGCCGTTGAACTTGAGGCGGATGTATGTACCAATTTGTGAGAAATAGTTCTTTACTTCAAGTAATTCAGGTATTTAGGATACTAAGGAAGTAAGGATAGTTAACATAGTTTGAGGTTTTGTCCTTTAATAAGATTGATATTTAGGTAGGCGATGGCAATGAGAAGAGTAGCATTTTTGCTGTATCGTTTTGCTATTTTTTTACTACTCAGACCTAGTAACAGTTCTGTTTGTCTATAGGATTTTTATGAAATCTAGAACTATTACTTATTCTTGTATTTTTATAATCTATACCAAAGTTTTGTTTATATAGTATAATACCTAGTAGTTAGTACATAGTAGTAGTACTAGTACTAAAAGTACTAAAGTAGTAGTACTACTAGAAAACAAATCTTTGATATAGACAAATAGAAGAATAATTAGTAATAGGTCTAGATCTTCTAGTAGGAATGACCCACCGTCAGCATGCTGGAATTCTGGAGAGCTATTAAATTAACCAGTGCACATACCAACATTATTAACATAATAATAATAACATAGGCATGGCATATTGGATACAAGTATACAACCAATTATAGTCTGGAGATGGACATGTAGCCACCTAAAAATGACAGATGCTGATATTTGAGATGCATTATGCACTATCTTAGAAGGCTAGAATTCTAGCTTTCTAGTTGGTTTTTGAGGTGCCGTTGTTTTCAGCCCAAAAACAATGGCACCTCAAAAACCAACTGAATCTACATTTCTGATTTCTCCACTCAAGTCTCAACCATGAAGGCATGAACTTACCAGCAAACTCGAGCGGAAAATGCCAGCCTGCCAGTGCCAGGGTGCAAGCAGTGAAGCAGGCAGCAGCATCACCATTCACTCACCAATATTTGGATTTACAGCCCAAGGCATTGCCGGCATTTTCAAGATGAGTTGCCAGGTAATTTTTATTAAGAAAATGCTTCTAACAACTTTAATTTTAATAGTATATCCCTTAAGGCTTACTCTCCATGCACTGCAATCAGCAACACTTGCACCCATTGCATCTGATTTCCAGGCAACCTTCACTGCATCCTGAATCATCCAATGCGTAGTGGCAAACCAGAGCTTTTTTGGAATCAGTTCATTTTTAATTCCTTCAATAACTCAAGATTTGAACCAATTTCTTAAGTATGATAATGGTGGTATACTGGTATCCATGATACTTTACTGGTCTACTTATAGGACTCAAAAATGAACTTGAGGGAAAGCCTAAAAAACTCTCTGCTTTGTCACTATGATTATTTATTTATTTATTCCAATGTACCAAAATGCTGAAACTTTACTGTGTGCGCTTGCGGTCTTTCAGATTTACAACTATTTTCTAAATAGTTGGCCAAAGACTGGCAAATATATAAAATACAATAATTTCAATTCAAATGTGACAGCAAGATCTTCTGAAGGCGTAAATTTTGCTGCTTATGCATAGCCAAAGATCTTGCAATATTCACCCACTTTCTGCCTCCTGGGGAAAATGCAACTTCTTTGCAACTGAACCAATCATAAGGTCTTCAATTCCATTTTGATGTGCTGAAAATTCAGAATATAACTCATTATTAGTAATGTGCCATGGTTAATGGAAGGAATTCTTACATTTCAGTCAAATGAGTCAATGAAATTTAAAAATGTAAAACACTGAAATCAGGTCAGGGAAAAGTCCCACCTTTTTCTGAAATATTGCAGCTCTAATATCATATAAATTAGATAGGTATAAAATCTTGCGGCTCTAATGTCATGTATTTTTGTTTGATTGAAAAAATTGGGGTTCACATTTTGCAAACATGTATATTCATAAAATTTAAACTCTCAAAATATGCATTACTTCAATGTTCCTGCCAAAATATCCTGCAGAATGTATAAAAAAAAAGTTAACCCAAAAGATTTCCTTGAAGATTGCGTAGTTGCGGTTACAGCAGAGCAGTCAGACTGCATTGTCACCAGAGCTGGGCAACACTACTTTGAAATGTAGCGGGTGCTACCGCTACGATTGCTCGAATGTAGCGCCGCTACAATTGCTTGAATGTAGCGCCGCTACAATTGCTTAAATGTAGCGCCGCTACCGCTGATGAAAATGTAGCGCGCTACTGCCCACCTCGGGTAACAACTAACATATTGACACTAGTAACAGGCTGAGGTTGACAACATTACACTGAAATCTTTCGTACAGTATTATTCTGTAATATTATGTATATATCATGCTGGTTTTCAAATAATATTTAACACTATTGAATAAAATGTAAAGGCTTTATCTATAAATGTAGCGGTAGCGCTGTAGCGGCAAAACCTCATGTTGCTCCTTAAATATGTAGCGGGCACTACCGCTACTGCTACAATTGCTTAAATGTAGCTCCACTACTGCTACTGTCAATGTAGCGGCCGCTTCATGTAGCACGCTACTGCCACCTCTGATTGTCACTTGTTCAGTTGCCACTTGAGTGAAGATAAATGTTAGTGTTGCTGTATTATTGGACTTTTTTTAGGGTAAAATTAGCTATTAGGGGTAACACGAGCATGTGACTATGTAAACAAGTTTGTGGCTTGTATTTGGCTTTTCATGGCCAAGATATGGAATTCATGGCTCAATGAAATGGAACATGGCTGGCAAACCATTAAAACCATGGCTTGAAAAATCGAGTTGTGGCTTGAAAATAGATACCGTAAAATGGGGTAACTTAGACTCCCAGGGTAACTTAGACCACTTTTCATTTTTTTAACAAAAATCATCAAAACTCAAAAACTATTTGACATATAAAAATTTTGTCAATGGTGATTAAAGGCCTAATACTGAGGCTATGTAACACAATAGAAAGATTTAAAAAGGCTGCATATCTAATAGGTTGAAAAATGAAAAATGTGACCCACAAAAAAGTGTGTATGCCCATAAATCATATCTGGTGTATCTACTATGGACTTAATCCTGAAGCTGCAATTATTGAATGACTTGTCAAATTACTTGGTGACATCATTTTATTTTGAAATAGGGGTTTGCTTCTACTCTTATCTCTGAAAAAAATTTGCATCATCAATGATAACAATATTCAAAAGTTTAGTGAGGGAATGAAACTTTTTATTTTAGCATATCTATCATCTATATTTATTGATTAATCTAAATAAAATAAGCAGTTTTGTTTATCCCAAATATCCAAAATTTACTGCACTTCTTTTCCTTTGGTTTGCAAAAAGTAAGAGAACAGGGGCCTTTTTAGGGGCCTGCTGAAATTAGGTCTACATCAAGATGAAACATCTGAAGCTCACACACTCTGGAATTTCTTTATAGATTATATGCTATTTGTTGTAGTATCCTAAATGCACTGTTAATGAATATTAGGAAGCAAGACTAATCAATCAAAATTCCACAGAAGTTGATGCAGCCTAACGGGGATGTTATAGTCTGTATCAAGTGTCTTTATATCAAACACCTAAATAATGTAGAGTGGTGATGTAGAATATAATCTAGAATAATGTCAAACTATCTAACACCTAAATAATCTAGAGTGGTGCATGCTGTTGCCAGGACTCAATGCTACACTCAAAGTTTGCTGCACTGACTCTTTAACTCTAAATAATGCCAGTGTACTACATACAAACTTCTTTCTCTAACATCAAAAAATGTCTTCACAGAATAAGGTCACTGATTCTTGAGTTGCTTTCAATTAATACTTGGACTTTGATTACAAATAAACTTCACTTTAACTTGAAACCTGCAAAATTTGATCAGTATTATGATGAATAAATGAAGGCATGCACAATGTCTCTGATGATGCAGTCAACAGTGGCTGGCACGCTGAGCTGAGCACCCAAATGTCTTCTGAATCTTGCAAAGTTGAGGCTGATGGTGAGCTGTAGTTTTATGGGATGCATAAATTGCTCACAATGTGTAAAGTTGAAAATAATATTCTTGTGATGATTAAATTATAGTTTAAAGATTAAGTTATCTTAGGATATTGCTCCACATTTTTTGGAAGCAGTGACACATTGTTTGTCACCTGTGTTAACACATTGACTACGATTGCTTCATCTTGTACTGTTATTTCATTTTTTGTACTTTTTTTAAGCAGGGTTGCCAGACGGTCATTTTTTCCCGACAAATTCCGTGATTTAGTTTTTCTCAATTGCTTTGGCCGGCTAAAATTTATGATAGGGGTACTTCCTAATTAAATTTTAAATACTGCAAAAAGAAAATAAATGGAATTTTTATAGCGGAACCTACAAATAAACTAGTATACATTGAATTATCAGCCTTTTTTGGCTTTTTTTATTCTCGGATTTGGCCGATTTTAGGCAACCTGAATTATGTGCCACTACATCCTGGAGAAATACATTTCATGGTACGCATATGTACCAATACGTTGTCAACGTGTTAATGTCTCGTGTTCAAGTTTATTCATGATGTTCTATGTCAATTTATTCAACTACAGAGGCCAGTGGCTCATCTCCTCCCCTAGAAACAGTGGCAGTTTACATCAAGGAGGAGCCTCAAGGTGGAGGAGAGGACATAGCTGTGAAGGTGGAACCAACTGACAGTAGTGAAAAAGAGGTAAATTCATCATTTGCATTAGTGAATTGTAAAGCATAAAATTCATATATTATTATTTGTACCTTGTGAGTTGGTTTTCAATATGGCAAAGAAGCTCCTAAAGCTTGAGGAATTTTATTCCTCAAATTTGTGTGAGATTATCCTGCAAATTAAGTTTGAAGCTGGTAATTTGTATTTGGCATCGGGACATTCAAGCTGTGGACTTGTATATAATTGTGCAATATGTTTATATTCTTAAATGAATTAATGCATTGCATTATTTGTGCAATCTATTCTTTGCTTTTCTATGTATTAATTGTGTATTGTTTGAATTTAGTCAACAGTAATTATGTTCAGTACTGATTATGTTTGCCAGTGAGCAAGTAAGGATCTTGTCATAAAAAGGATCTATTTATTATTTGATGATCAGCATTGCATTGCAATATGAGTTCTGTGACCATGCCTGCCAGTGAAGTTAAGCTTCATTCACTTGGGGTGGCAAATACTGTATGAATAAAAAAAACACAACTATATTTATCAGCAAACCTCAGCAGATATACAAAATTTACACTGCTATTCACACAGAACAGATTTTAACACAGCATAGAATTTGATGCCTGATGCCTGTGTGTATGCTGCTAAAACTGCTGTGGTAGATTTGCCGCAGCAGTTTAGCTTACAATGATATTCTATGTAATCTTTCACACTGAGCGGTTTTTGACACCACATCCTAGTGTGGTTCAGACAGTGGGTCGTCGAGGGTGTGTGCAGCTTCAGCTTCTAGAAGAGGTAAGGATAATTAAACTCATTTATTCTTGTTATTGAATGAATTAATGAATTTTGTCATGACAAGTTTGTGAACATTGAAACATATTTTTATTGGGAAATACATTTCTTTTCAGGTTCAGCAATGAATTCAAGTGACAATGTAAAGCTTATTTTAGCCGTTGAAAAACACCCTGCAGTTTGGGATAAGGCCTGCAGCGACTACAAGGACAAGAATAAAAAAGTCAATGCATGGAAGACCATATGCAAAGAGGTTACAGTAAATCATGCAGAAATCAAAGATGACGAAGCAAAAAATAATGTTGGTGAGTAGAAGTATTTGCAGATCATATGGAGTTGTTTTGTCATGACACTGAACCATTGTTGCTTGCAAAATAATTGCAAACATATCTCTGATGCGGTTAGCTCCTCTTCCTCCATGTTGGTGACCAATATTTGTAATAGTTTGTAATTCATTGCTATTACTCTCGTCTTAACCTCTTTGTCAGTCTTTTAACAAAATTGTGCAGCACGCAATAGGCTTTTACAATATCAATTGCTAATTTATTAGACTCATAAATTTATTAGACTCATTCAGAATTATTAGGGCAAATAAGTCGGATGTGTTTGCCGTCTATGGCCCCTAAACAATTGGAAAAATTTGAATTTTTCTCAAAGCCTTTTGATATGATATTCCTATTCTCCGTGTACAGTGGAAAGCATTTGGCTTGCAATGCTTGCCATGTTTCAATATATTTCTCCCTGATTGTTCCACTTATGGTTGATATGCCTAGCCAATAAAATAATACAGAGCTGTCATAACCAGTGGCAAGGTATCTTAAAANCCTTCAACACCATCTTCTCCTTCTAGATCAAATACTCCTTCTCTGCCTGAAAGTTTGCAGTCAACCGCGACTGCGTTGCCAAGCACTACTTCATCAGAAGCTTTAATACTCACACCAATGCAAAAAACGAGTAATCTCACCCAAAAGAAAAGGAAGATAGATCCAACTGATGAGTTAATTCAGGTTGCATTATCTAAATTGACGGAGAAGAAAAATGATGATGATGACTTATCAGCATTTGGCGTAGTGGTGGCTACGCAAATTAGAAACATGAATAAAACACAGGCAACCATTTCTAGAAAATTAATCAATGATGCATTGTTCATGGGAAGTATGAATATGTTGGAGACAATTTCACGTATTGTGACAGCATCAAATTGCACTGACAAAAAGAACTTCTAATTGTCATTTCAATGAAGATAAAAGTCTGATTACTGTTTATGTAGAGGTTATTCTATTTGATATTCTTTATTATATATCATATTTTTGAAACGTAGGTTTCGTCCAGAAAAACTTGAAACTCATGGGGATGTTATTTTTGTTACTTATTAGGATATAGGAAATGGATTACCTCGAACTTGGAAGTATTATTTCCATTTCAGTTAAACTATTATTGCTGTTGTGCACTGAAGTTTTCAGTGCATTCAACGATATACATTGTTTTCTCAGGTCTCTTCTGTACACATTTATTATACATGACCTCGTCTAAAACTCCACTAACAACTTTTATAATTGCACGCTTCTCACCCGATACAGTTTTCGCCTTTGCCTCATTTCTCATAATAAATTATTCTCTCGCTCGCATACCAGAATAAAGAAGCAGAATATAGTTACACTGCTTTTATTTTCCTACCTATAGCTCGGTCTTAACCCGTTCATTGGTAACCCCGTTGATATGAATATCGAGCGCTATCGATATTTTCTTTAATATTTGAGTCGCTTCATTCGCCGTTGTTTTCTAGACTCGTCGTCTGCCCAGTACCAGCTAGGCTCGTCGTCCGTCAACATAGAGCTCTGAGTTATTTTCAAATTTATGTATGTTGACTGTAATATTGAGGGTAATTGCGTATGTTCGGTGAACGAATGAAAATGGAAAGTTTGTGTTGTGAAATGAGGAAGACTTGGCAAACCAAGCTTTATTCGAACAAATTTCCATTTACCTGAAATAAGAGTAACAGACATTAAATACTAATTAACATCACATAACATGAATATCACAAGCAACGGAAACAATTATACAGCGGATTTAAATTCAGCAATGTTTGCTGAATGAATTTAAACGATGTTCGCTGAACTTGCATCAGTGGTTAGAACATTTCAGCTCGGGTACATTGAGACTGATGCGGTGTTGAAGCCTAACTATCTAACGTCTAACTAAATGAAGAACATCTAACGTCTGATTGTCATGTTAAAATGAACTTTATTCATTTATGAATAAGGACTAAGTTACAACATTCACCCCCTCAAAAAATTCGTAGCTTAGTCCAAAAATAATTTATTTTACAAACGAAATAAAAACCTATTCATGCCAATATTCATACACTACTCTGCTTATTAATAACCGTAGCGATCTGTAGGTCTTCGTGTTCTTGCCGATTTTCTGGGGACAGGTGAAGGAACCAGTTCAGTTTCCTTGTCTGCTTGTTACATTGGCTGCTGGGAGACAAGTAAAAGGTTCTCCGGAATCCTGCAGTGGGGCAGGTTGAAGGTAAGAACCAGAAGGATCGAGAGTTTGATCCTGACGAAGTGAAGTCGGATCTCGTTGGAGAGGTGAAGTCGGATCTAGTTATAGAGGTGAAGTCGGCTCGAGTTGGAGAGGTGAAGTCGGCTCTAGTTGTAGAGGTGAAGTCGGCTCTAGTTGTAGAGGTAAAGTCGGCTCTAGTTGCTCACGAAGCTTTGCGTCGTCTATCACCGAATCTGGAAGCCTCCGGGCGGAGAGTCGAGGGCAGGGCGTTATATCTTGTAGCGACACTGTCTCGGACATGAGAATGTCTTAGTTAAACATAGTGGGTTTATGTTGTTCTAAAGCATACTCTAAATTCGAAAGTTTGATGGCGACGTTGGCTGCATCTACGGGGGGGGGCACAGTAGAGAATGTCTGCTACTCGTATTTCAATATCTCACACCAGGTCGCCATCCGCAGTCTCAACTTACGCTGCTTCATGATTAGTATTAACTCGCACCAACAATCATAGTTGTATGATTAAAATACCTTAGGCCACACTCTAGAGCTGGCATGCCTGTAACAAGTTTTGGTGTGGCGTGTGATGTTCAAAAAACTATATATTGTGAAATATTCAGATGTTTGAGACAACCGTCCGCTTCTGTTGACTAATGTAACCTGTGTCTAGCTCAAAATCAAACGTTTGCTAATATTGTCAGTACGGGGAGTGACAGAAAGCGCCTGTGGGCTGCTACGCTGTAGACTGAACAAATGTGCCCTCATTTCCAATAGCCTTCGCTTGATATTTTCCTTAAAATTTCTCCACTGCGGCGTAGGTTCTTTTTTAGCACGACTTCGATCTCTTGCTTGCGATTGACTTTAAGGGATAATTTTCACGTAACTGCTGCGTAGGAGCAAGTAGGAGCTGCAACTGCTGCCATTTTGGTTCATAAGGGCTGTGTTGGCAATCGTAGGAAGTAGATTAGGCAGGGACTTTGACAATCCTGATTACACTGCCATTCCTGTGCCATCACTACAGACACCAGCCTCCTATCCAGGCTGGGAGTTAATCTTAACGCTCTTTTTAATATGCCTTTTTGGCATCAAAATTTCGACATATTTTCATAAGTGGATGGCATTTGTAGTAAATGAAAGAGATAATTTTAGCACCGACCAAAATTAAGGAAGTTACATTCGTTAATTTCTGCATTATTTATAAAACTGGTTACAAAAGTTGACTTTGTTGTTGTCTGCCAGAGTAATCATCGATATTTTTAATGTTATCATTATACTGGATTGAAAAGCGGATGTATTGACAATAATGTTGTTCTAAATGACATAATTGAAGTTATAAAATTTAATGGGTAACTTGTTAAATAGTGGAATAATTACAATATATGCAACACAATGGCTGGGACCATTAGAACGAATTTTGTCATGTAAAGTAGTAACGTTGTAGTTTTTAGTGAGTAAAGTAGTAAGTTTACTGCAGAAGTAGTAAAGTCTGGTGTAGCAGCACGATTTTGCCCTAATACAACGGACTAAAATAACAATCTGTTAACATCCTAATCTGATATAATCCATCTTACTTATTTCCTTTATTCTTTCAGGAGTATTTCCTTTTAATCATACTCACTAGTAATATAATATTCACTGCACTGATGTGGGGAGTGAAATATGTGAAAGAAATCAGTGGGGGTGAAGGAGTGAAAGTGAAATAAATCAGCAAAGGATCAGTTGTTTCTCCGCTAGGCCACCACATCCTCGCCTGCCAGCGCCTGACTAAATCCAATTATTTGGATGAAGCAGCGCCACGGCGCCCGCGCTGCCCTCCCATTGGCTGCTCTGTTGGATGAAGCAGCGCCACGGCGCCCGCGCTGCCCTCCCATTGGCTGCTCTGTTGGATGAAGCAGCGCCACGGCACCCGCGCTGCCCTCCCATTGGCTGTGTCCCAGGTCCACTTTTCAGCGTGGATCGGGTTTAATTAATTATTGTCAATCTCTGATTAGAGTATATAAATAATATAATACGACCTGAGGGTTCCAGGTCTCTTGAATGTTCTTGGCTATAGCAGGTGTGAAACAATGAGTACAGAATAGTTTACTCACTAAATGGTTAATACAGTAGGCACTAAGAGTTACAGTACGATATGAGGGATAGATACGGCCCGCTCGATAGAGAAGCTTATCGGGGGCCGGAGCGTAGAATAGATATGTAGACGCTCGGAGGTCTCTACTACAACTGACTGCTGGCGTTCCTGATGAGCTTGAAGAGCTATGTGGGTCCGCCCGCGTCGTAACGTAAACCACGTACGACAAGACGTACGATATTGAGATAGTCACTGAAGGTGACGATGCGTGAATCCGGGACACGTCCCCCCTTACAACTGGGAGCGTCCTCGTTCCAATAATACTAAGCAGGGAACGTTAACAATATACGTTACATTAAAATTTTAGGAACAAGGTTCTAAACGCCTTACATTATTAAATTCCAGCTAAGTCAACTGACATTAGCGGATAGCATAGCAAGCAAAGTTAGTACTAATAGTAGTAGTAAACTACTATAAAGTTACTACTAATAGCAAGGTTAGCAACTAGGAAACATCCTTAATTATTATGGAGTTCATCTTCAGTCTTCTGGCTTCTGATGAACTTCTTTCTTCATGTCTCGTTCCAAGAAAGTTTTAGAGAGAGAAAGAAAATAAACATAGGCATTAGTTTACATAGTAGAAAACAATGTAAAAGTCTTTTTCCCAAATATTTTAATTGAACTCTGGTTGAGTGGATCATTTCAGACTGATATTGAGTAATTACGTTACTTTACTTGAATTGGACAATTGTCAGTCAAATTGACGATTTTAGTCAAATCATTGAGACGGGGTTTCCAGATTACGCCAATTCTTGCCAACGCATGCGAGTGTAAATTTCCCCTTGCAATAAATAAAGAATATCTGACGATATCTGCAAGCAGTAACCTGGCAACGAGCGCGTGTATGCAGTCTTATTAAAATGCGTTCCAACTCCATATGATATCTGATGTAAACTACAATGGTTTTTACCTCAACTTCAGAGCCGGATTACGGCAGGATCAGCGCCGGCCTCTGGACCTGCGAAGTGACCGCGCAATTGTCGGACTGGTCATATTGATGTCTTTCATCCGATGCAGCAGCAACTTCATATATTTGAACTGCTACCAAGAGAAAATGTTACACCGTAATTATGGCATAGGCACACCGCTGCTTATATTCAACCTTGTAATTCACAATTGCGTCGACCTAAAGCCACTTATGCATTATTATTCGACAATTTAAATCAGTATTGGATATTTGCATCCACCAAAATTTGTACTAGTTATTTTAAGGCATTGTATTACTTCCTAGATCACAGTCAAATCATGGCAGCACCATCTAAAATGTTGAATAATAATGATGCAAATAAAGTAGTATATATATAAAATCGAATTTATCGATGAAAGTTACAGGTTGTTGAGATTTATTCGATTGAATTTGTTTTGATGAATGTGAAACTTTTCACACAACTGTTTATTCCACATTTATGCATCGGTTGTGGATAAATTTGTGCGCTAATAATTCCATGGATAACATAACTAACCCAAGAGGAACCCTCGCGTCACTAAAATTCTGCCAGGACAAATTTCCTGCGTGCCTTCCTGATAATTAATATGCATTATATTAAAAATGATAAAGAATTTTAACTTTTCTGTTTTGTCACGTCGTAAATTTGGCTAATAGAGCTATGTGTATGCTGAGAAACCGGAACCACGCAGGTTCGTTTGTTACATGGAACTATAAAGGGTCTTGAATTTGAGGGGTAACTCAATGACGTTTTATGAAGATAGGAATATTGTTTAAGTGTAAAATAAATGATGATAATCATGGATAATCGTGTGCTGTATCTTCCATTATTCATCGTCAAAAGTTTGAGGAATCCACCGATTAGATCTAATTGGCGATTAGAGGAATAAGATTAAATTCAGCAATAATAAGTGGAATGCCATAACGATGTGCCATGAGAGTTTTTTCAAAGTCTTCATTACAATATTAATATTTTTCCGTAAGAATATCATTTATTTAATGTATATAAAAATATTATTCATGAGATTTCGAGAGATCATGCTGATCCCTCATCCACTAAGTAACTTGGTCTTGATATGTCATCCATTATTTTCTTCTATAGTTATCTTATTCTATAGTATAGTAAGACATTCTATTTTCTTTTTCTAAGCATAAATAGACGGTAAAATGAAATCAACATTTCTCTTCGCACGCTATCCGCTGGAGGTTGACTGACACTAGAGGTCAGCCAACCAAGTGCCAGTTCCATGGAAAGTTTTAAGCGCGGTTCATCGGATGGAATAAATCGCTATTCTATTTTCATAACAATCATCAACTCGCCCATCCCTGCCGTGCCTGGACTGGCGGTGGGTAGTGCTGGGATGGTCAGTGCTCTACATGTTCATTCTGTTGAATTTATTTCCTAGATGGTTTTACAACATCCTCTCGTATTGAGCTGTACTGAAACTTCATGAAACCGCAAGAGATATATTCCGATTGCGAGGTCACTACAAAGTGTTTGAACAAACCAGTGCTAACACTTTGTTGAAGTCGATTCTGAATCCGTTATTTTAGGTACCTGACAAATTCACTAAACTTCGAGTTCGGTGCCGTGCACTTATTTTAAGAGCACCTGTTGCGAATACTTCTCATCTAATTTCTACAAGCCATACGCAAAATCGGTGAAAATCACGTTATCATTATAAAATCCATAATGTTGCCATAACTTGAACTAAATATCAGGGTAATTTCTTTCATTTTTAACCAAAATGCAGTCATTGAAAGTCACACGAGTCCTGTGATCATCTTCCTGGTCCCCGGCCTGGGACAAGGGGCTGAAGGCGCAGCTTCCTCACGCGAGGAATGACCTCGTATCATACAATATGCAAATACTGATATATTATCTTATATATAAATAATATATAATATCCGCATATCATATATGACGACCCGCTCCTCGTATTATATGACGCGGCATTACTGAGAACCTGGTAGGAGCTACTCGATAAATATTGGCCATTGATTACTGGCCTGTTAATTGCACAGCCGTTATTATTTCATAACATATAAACCGCTCTAATTCAATAACTCACGGTCGTATAGAGGCTCTAGGATGATGTACATGGATATTAAGGTGTAGTGAACGTTTCAAAAATGTATTATTCCATTTTGTGATGAATTTTAAAATAAGGCATGTTCAGGACAATTGTAAATGTACCAATTTAGGCTGCACATTCGTCTGATGGTAATGTTAAAATAAAATTTAATTATTGGAAATATCAACAATGTTTTATCATAATAATCTAGACTTTCTCCAAATGCAACACTACCACGAGATGCTAGATCGTAGCAGATTCATTTGCTTGCTGGCTTTCCTTGTTTAACTTGAGAGCACAGAAACTGGGGTATTTGGTCGGAGCTACTCCTCTTGTGGCCTCCCTCAAGTGTCAAGATTTAAGAAAGAAAATTGAAATCATCTCTGCTTGTTTGAATGCTCTGCTGATATCTTGAGATATCAGCAGGGTTATCTTCTTGATATCTTGTGAAACTTTGCTTTGTGAACCTATGAGCCTGACTTAGTGAGAACCTCACAAAAGGAGGGCAAGAAGACAACCTGGGCCAGAGGCCCAGTGGTTACAGTTCAGAGTAAACCGACTGTAGCAGAGAGTTACGGGTTCGAGACGCCAGCAAGCTGCAAGAATTCTGCGATGTGTATAATAGACTACAGATAAAATTTTGCTTACGGAACGCTGACACGGCTATTACTAAATGGGACCACATTGGTTCACCCCATAGCATAGCGGTCGAATTTGCACAGGACACAGGAGAGATTAGGCAATTAGAGGACGATCAATTAAATGAGCTTGGAACGACACACGCCATATCAAAATTTGTTTTAGGCATGACAGCCTCTAGGGTGAGGCAGAAGATATTTCAATCATAAAACTCCAAGGTAAAGGTCAGCGAGAGTTGATGCTAATCACGAAACAGAGTAAGTGGAAAAACTAAGCATGGCGACCTGGAGTGAGGTATTAAAATAGCAGACATTCTGTCATCAGACTTTCAATTCGCACGGACTCTTTAAGAAAAACACAGGTCAATGTTGTTTAAATTGGGCATCCTCACGATACTAATCATTCTCAATCATTCAACTCCACTCCCTCACCAAATGCACACCTTTACCCTGGGTAACAGAGATTCTCTCAAAAACTATGCCAGTGAATGCTCTACATTGACAAATCCAAAGTAATGACAATCGAGATTTTTATGGCTCAGAAAGTTTTTAGCAACTTCTTTACTCACAACTGAAATTTGCCTGTACGTAGTCAATTTGACAGCGAGTTTAAACAGCAAATGGCATTGTGGACGAATAAAATATGAACAAATATATACTGTACCAAATTTATTCATCGAATTATATTTATATATTCAGAGGCAAGGAAGTGGACTTGGAATGCTTGGCTTTAGCGTGTTGAAGTAGCCTTCTTTTTTCGACGGCAAAATATGAGCACTGCGAGCAGCTAAAAGGTTTTTCAGACGAATGCTTGTATAGAACGTGTCTGTTCAGATCACTTTTCTTGACGCACGAATATTCACATTCCGGGCAACTGAAAGGTTTCTCCGATGAATGCTTGTATAGAACATGCCTTCGCAGATCACTTCTAATGACGCACGAATATTCACATTGCGTGCAGCTAAAAGGTTTTTCAGACGAATGCTTGTATAGAACATGGCTTTGTAGATCACTTTTTCTGACACAAGAATATTGACATTCCGAGCATCTGAGAGGATTCATAGATGAATGCGTTCCCTGTAAATGAAACTTTAAATCATTTCTAAAAACACAATAATATTCACATTTTGAGCACCTCAAAGGCTTCTGAGATGAATGCTTGCGTAATAAATGCGATTTTAAGTTGTATCTAGAGACGCAAGAATAATCACATTCAGAGCACCTAAGAGGTTTCTGTGATGAATGTTTGTAAAGTACATGGCTTTTAAGATTATATTTACTGGAGCAAGTATATTCACATTTAGAGCACCTAAAAGCTTTATGAGATGAAAGCTTGCGCGGTATATGTGATTTCAAATCGTCTTTAATGGCACATGAATATTCACGTTCCGCGCAACTTGGAGGCTTTACAGATGAATGCTTCGAAGGAATGTTGTATTCGAGATTTTGTTTACTGGAACAACTATGTTCACATTTAGAGCATCGGTCTGACAATTCTCTCGAATATTCTGCACGAATGTGTTGCTGCAGTTGCTGCTCTGAACTGCAGCCAAATGCACAGTGCGAGCATGAGTGTGGCTTTGCGGTTGCCTGCTCATCTGCACGGCGCTGCTGCTGTTGGGCTGCAGCTTCGGCCTCAACAAATCCAACCTGGGAACCCGCAAGCCTGTTGGTGCGGTGCTGGGAGCAGGACGCTGCAGAGACGTAGGCCTGTTGGTGCGGTGCTGGGAGCAGGACGCTGCAGAGACGCCGCCACTGCCAGCAGCGTCGTCAGGGGCGCCCTCGGGTGCGGGCTGCTCTCTCCTCACGCACTGACGACACAGTAGCAATGAAACAATAATTATTATGGAGAAAACACTTCCATGTGAATCATTGTAGCATCATACAAACTTAAAATTTGAGGATAAATCAGCATCGGTACATTCTCCTAATCAACACTCCTCTGGATTAAATTATTATATGTATTATAATTAATGAGAACTAGGTATTGGTGAATTATCCAACAACTCATTTGCGTATATTTTTTTTTCTAGTCAAGTATATAATTTAGCACTTGAGAAAGCTCATTTGATTGGCAGGTCTCGATTCAGGCAGGTCTCTCGATTTAATTTTCCAGGGAGCGCAGCCGTGCACCACCAATTTTGCGCACCAATAAGCCCTGAATCGAACGCCTTGGATCTCTCCGGACCTACACCAATCAGCCGTGCACCACTCGGTTTTGTCCTCTTCCGGCCTTGACCACCACCTGCCGTGCACCACCAGGCCGCGGATCGAATATGACTTCCAGCCATCGTTAAATTACGTAATTTTACGTTCACCGCATCTGAGGTTAGGTCTCAGATAGCATAGTTCTGTTCCAAAATTTATCGTCCTTCGACAAGTGGCCGTTCGACTGAGGGCTGGTTCGACCCACGGCCTAGATACGGACGGCTTGAAGTGTTGAAGGCTACGTTCCGGAAGGCAGGAATCATGATGGTCCATTACATCCAGGGCAGTGGTGGTCTTCGGCAGGCGACCCATTTTCCATTCATCTTAACCATGGCTCAAAGGGGACATGAAATATGGGAGTTTAATCGGAAGGACAAAATATGCTGGGTAAGGAGAAACGTAGCACTGCACACAAACGTACAGTGGGCAGTTACAATGGGGCGCTGGTTATTGCTAAAATGTTGTTTTCGTTTATGACAAACATTACACGAGGAAACGTTTTATGCATAAATGATATCGAACAGATATACCAAGACGAAACAATGAGTAATTGGCATGTTAACTCAGCATTGACCAGGAAGATGGAGGGAGAATACAACGTGAGGTAGCAGGAGCTGATAAAACATTCTGGCCCACAGGTAATGAATGGAAATATGGCCCATGTATTATGCGAGTGAACGTTCTGCCAGCAATGGCAAATTGATGTTCAACTTGCCAAATATACAACATGATGTTCAACTTGCCAAATATACAACATGATGTTCAACTTGCCAAATATACAACATGATGTTCAACTTGCCAAATATAGAACATGATGTTCAACTTGCCAAATATACAACATGATGTTCAACTTGCCAACTATACATTGGCAGAAGGGTAGATAAAATGGCATCTCTTACACTAGTCATAAAATTCCCTCAAGTCCCAAGGCAGGCTTCAAAGAAGAATGCACCATCTTTCAATAATCTAGGTAAAGGAAAGATAAATGATAGCAATTTTTCATTGTTGGATGTTACTATTGTTAGCCATCAAAATGTAACAAAGGCCATTGTACATGAGAAATTATCACCACTAATATCAAGGCTGAAATACATTTTAAATCATAATTTAATCATATCACGCAATATTATTTCTTTAATGAAGGTATCATAAAATTTATTGTGTGAAATCACTGCACTGCCTCCTAGTGCATATAAATAAACCTAGTGCATATAAATATGTCACCTGTCTTCCATCAACTGCATTAGGTTATGAGCTGAAGTTTTACTTAACTCTGAACCTGACAGCAATAGAGGCCAACCCACGACTTTGGTTGCAAACAAACAAATCTTAACTCCCCAAGCTCAAGAGAATGGCAAACAAGAAGCTACCCTCGCCTTCTTCATCAGAAACAGACTAAATGTATGAAAATTTATTATATACTTTGAGCCTTGATATTATTCAAGGCTTGGAAGAAGGTTGTAGAAAAAAAATTGAACATATTTAAATAATATACCAATTTTACCAACAATTCAACAGTATTTAACATTGTATACTTGGTAATCTTGCACCAATTTGAGGAGGACCTGAGGAGCATATTTGACATAGCTGAAAATTACTAACAAGAGATGAATATTAACAGGTGAATTTTATGACTGACAAAGACAGGATTTGAGGGATACTTTTACCTTCTCATTGATGCCACATGCCTCCTCCTCCACAGGTTTGTCCTCTCCCTCATATTCAGGCTCCTCCTTCACAGTTATGTCCTCTCCTTCATATTCAGGCTCCTCCTTCACAGTTATGTCCTCTCTCTCATATTCAGGCTCCTCCTTCACAGTTATGTACTCTCCCTCATATTCAGGCTCCTCCTTCACAGTTATGTCCTCTCTCTCATATTCAGGCTCCTCCTCCACAGTTATGTCTTCTCCCTCATATTCAGGCTCCTCCTTCACAGTTATGTCCTCTCCCTCATATTCAGGCTCCTCCTTCACAGTTATATATGCTTCGTACACAGGCTCCTCCTTCACAGTTATGTCCTCTCCCTCATATTCAGGCTCTTTCTTGAGGCTCCCTGCCACCATGCCTGGGAGTAGAGATGAACCACTAGTCTGTGTAGCTGGATAGATTGATATGAATCAACATCATGATGATAGTTGACAGTGGGAGATATCAACACAATTACAGATGATAACATTCTGTACCTCTACATAACTCAAATTTACAAACATATGATAATAAAAAAGGCAAATTAAGTATAAAAACCACTAGTACATAATTTCAGCTCCTCACAATATTGAAAGCGCTTAGTATATCCCAAATGTTAAGCTCACCATCCAATTCATCCTTGTGCACCACAGGAGACATTTGGGCAAGATTCAGCCCATCATGCCAGCCCCTCTTCACTGCAGCATCAGAAAGTTTGTGCATCACAACACTGCACTCTTTCATTTTGTTAATCATGATTTGTATTAGATTTAGATTGTTCCAAGTTAAACTGAAACTTATTGATAGTCAAAATTCATGAAACAGTCACAAAGACAAAGTAGTAAATGCAAAAAATTTGAAAGTAGTAACAGCTCTGTGAAACAATTTGTGGGTGTAGAGAAATCACATTTTGTACATGGTATATACATACACTTTCACAGTTAATCACAGATTTTCATTTTAGAAAGTAGTCTGCATTACTGAAAATGATCCTTACAGAGAAAACCTAATAGGGCATAATATCAGACTTTACCAATATTTGTTTGTTTACTGCTCCACTTTCCTAACAAATGGTACACAAGTCATTTTAAGATTTCAAAAATAATTAAAATAGAATTGAAATTGCACCTACAGCTGGTTGTGATATCACTGCCACAGCATAAATACAATGGAAAAGGTCATGGAATTGTCAAAAGTAACTACAAGCAAACTATGTTCTACATTTTATCAACTATGTTCTACATTTTTATCATTTTATCAAGTTATTTCAATTAAAATATGAGGATCCATCCTGGAGGAGAAATATTGATAAAATTACCAGGCAGAGAAGCAAAATAAGAGCCTGAAATTGTGGAACCTAAACACCAGATTGAAAATACCATATGAAACAATCATAAACAAAACTAGAGAGCACATGAAAAGCAGTTTTGCATGAACTCTTTTCCATGAATATTTTTAAACAGTAAATTACTTCTGTCAAAATAAATGAAGCTGTCTCAATGAAGTTGATCTCTAATATCATGATAAATGGAATATTAATATAAAATTGCAATAATGAAAAAATCAATTGCTTCTATTCAAGAGTAGTACCGGATGAGGCTCTGAGGCTGTTGGCATATTTAGCAACCCATAATTGAAATTACAATATCTTTAGCAATTTTGTAACACATGAATTGACTCACTAAACTCTTCTAAATGTGTTAAACTAAACTCTTCTAAACTCACTAATTACTTTGATATCTTTACAAATGAAAAAAATCCACCAATTGACTGCTTGCTATATAAAGCTCACCAAAAGGTAATTAGATTGGAAAACATGTAGATGGGTTATGCAACAAGAGAACAACAGCACATTCTTTGCAAGAGCAGCAGTCTATCTAAAGAAAATTATTTCATTGCTAAGCTGGTGCAGATTAAACTTTGCTAAGCTACTTGCAGGCTCCCACCAGAATAAGACCAAATATATAGACTACCATGGAGATGAGATAATTTTTGTCCCAGTAACAATTCAGCTGGATCTAATCATGATAAATTATCATAAAATGTTATTTAGAAGCATTCTCTGCCCTCATTGATTATTGCAAAATACAGTTACTAATACATTAGTTTTTTAACCCTTTACTGCAGTATGTCTCTCCCCAAGAACATAACTTTCAAATTAACTTTCAAACGTAAACTATAGACCAAAGCAACATGAGGGCATTTTAAAGCTGTTGTGCATTGTGGCAACCAACAATGCAGTTCTTTTGTGCTCACTAGAACTTATCCTTTTTGGGAAGTAGGCTTGTGACAATATTGCTCCGGTTACTCCTGTCAGGCAGTAAAGAATTAATAGATGAAGAAAATCTGCATGCTTGCAGCTATTGATGGAGGTAATGACTAGGTACTAGATATGTTGACAATATCATTTTTCAAACAAGTTTAAATTTTATTTTGACACAACAGGAAAAATACTCCTTCAAACTTGTGTGCCATAATATCTGAACAAGTTTTGCTTACTAGGCCAATCCCTGAAAATCTTAAACTTACCTCAAAATTTTAGTTGGCCGAGACTGATTAGCATGTGATATGTTTAAAAAAATACCAATTTCAGGTATATTATTACCTGTTGAGGCAGCAAAAACAAATTCACTGACAAATAATTTGTGGCAGATGACTATTGTCACGGTCATCTGTAAGTTTAATAGGTTCAAATTTAATTAAGATCATCATAATCACTGGCAAATTCAGAATACAAAATGGATTTTGTAGCTGAAAAGTAAATACAGATAAATTGAAAGTATAGCTTGCAGATTTGAAACACACTGAACCCAATTAATAGAAAATAAGAAAACAAAGCAAAATTGCACAGAATAGGCAATTTATAATACAAACATAAATTTTGGACTAAAATGGATGTATGAAATAAATAGTCACTCACATCCTCTCAAGTGGTAAGTTAGCTTAAGTTCCCATACTGGCGCAGTTATTAGTTATTTGTTGGAATTTTGCATTAGGATTATGCTTAGTTTTGGAATTTATTTTACATTAACAATTTTACTTCCTTTTCTGGACTAGAGAGAAAAACAAAGAAGAAGTATATAATAAGAAAACACAACACAGACTTCAAATAAATGAGTATGAAAGCCAAAGGGTTAGGCTAAAAAGCATTACAGCTCCCCCGCAACATTACTCTGAATAGTAACTATTGGGCTACCCTGCACTATGAATCAAGAAGTCTTGGCTACAAGTGACAAATATTTCCAGTTTGTGCCCAAAAGAGTGATCTAGTTAATGTAGCAGTGGCTGCTGACATTTTTCACAGAATAATTTCTACAATTCAATCATGGGATGCAAAATTAGCATTACTAAAGGATTATTAATCATAAGCAGTTCTTATCTACCAGCATATATTTCAGTATGACATCCGTGCAAAACTTGAACAGTGCAGTGGAAATGCAGCTCAGTCTGAACTTTACTTCAACCTGTATAATATATATCCATCAAATTGTTGCAACACTAAATTAAAGAATTCTAGATGGGTATTATATTCATATATTTACCCATATTCTTCTAGAATTCTACAGGGGCATTAAATTAACCAGTACACATAGCATATTGGAATGTCTGGAGAGGATGACATCACAATCCCACAAACCAATCTCAGTCTGGAGTGGATGACATCACAACCAATCACAGTCTGGAGATGGACATGGATCAGCCCAAATGACAGATATTTTATTAAGTATCCTAGAATTCCGACCTGACCCCCAACTGAAGGCAGTGTAGCTCATTGAGTGGGCTAGAGTGATGTTGAGAGCAAAAGTACTGCAACCTATCTTGTCCCAAGCTACCGTACACTGGGGAAAATGGTCAATTTTGACTTATAGAACCATATTGGTCTGCCTGATCTAAGTTCAGCAGCAACTTAAATATTTTGGATTCTGCTAAGGGGTTTTGTTACTGGGCAAATGTGTGTCTTTGGCTAGTCTAAGAGTCTGTGGCAACTGGCATTCATGCAATACACATCTTATGATATTCCTCTGTGATTAACATATTCTTCTGTGATTGTTATATTGGCTATTGGTACTAAATTTTTTAACAAATGGAATTCAGGAAGGGTAACATATGGATAATACACAGGTAAGGTGTTTGTGATTCATATGGTGCTCATATGAATTATGATGAACCTATAAATATGAAACTATATCTCCCTTTTATGTTTTGCTGATATTTTGAAATTATTGAGTGACCAGGCATTGATTTTGGAATGTATGAAACATTGACACTAGAATTCCACCCTGGTTGAAGGAAGCACTTGAACATGATGTCTTGTCAGCATGGTAGAATTCTAGGAAGTAGTTGGTCATTTAGTTAGCTCCAACAGGATTGCCTGTGTTCCAGCGCTACTCACTGGAGGAGAGGAGGGTGTGTGTGCGCAATTTGAAGCCCCTCCAAGAGTGTCATTTCTTAATGATGGTTTACTTATTTCTTAAGGAATTGTTGGTGTTTTGAGCGCTGGAGTGCTCTAATGCACTCATCCAGGAGCGGGACACTCTAATGCACCTCTAGTAGCAAGGCACGCAGCAGCTGCCGCTGCCAGCCTACTTGTATTGGAAAGCGCAGCAGCCCTGCTCCTATTGGAGCAAGCACGCCCCTATTTTTGGCCACCACACTCTTCAATTACATAGGTACATGGTCATTTAGAAGGCATTTAGAATGCCTTCTAATGGAATTAGAAGGATATGCATAGAATGGATATGCATACTGCATATCATATCATTCTCTCAGTCAGGAAGATGTGTCAGGTGCTAGGGAATATATATTGTCATTTTATTCATCTGCAGGGAATGCCAAAGTAGGTTAAAAACAAATTGGCTGTATACCAAACATGAAATATATCTAATTTGCGAAATATGACTAGGACTTTCTTGGAATTTTTATTTTCTGGAGTCTTGCCTTTCCTGCAGGATTACAGCTTCCAATTTCTATCGGATTGTCAAGGGGGAAGTATACCCTCCAGAAAAACTTCCACATTTACTAACGGATCTTTCTGAAACTTCACACATACGGTATATGTAAAACCAAAATGCAAGAACATTTTGTTGGTATGATTTTTTCAGAAAAATTTATAGAAAACATCAAATTCATAGAAAACGGACAAAAAAGGGGCTACTTTAGAAATCTATCTCCTCCTAGGGTTTTCAAGCTACAACATTGAGACACATATCATTCAATGCGTAAAGACCATACCTATTGATTTATTGAGCCCTTTTTTTATTTTTGCCTTAGTTTTTTTATATGCATTTTTGATTTTTCTATTTTCTTCAAATTTTCCCCCCTCCCCCCATTTGAATGCAAACTATGCACAAATCTAAAAAAAGGGCTCAATAACTCGATAAGTATGGTCTTCACGAATTAAATGGTATATGTCTCATTGCTGTAGCTTCAAAACTCTAGGAGGAGATAGGTTTGCTGTGACAATAAGTTTGAATGTTCAGCAGAGCGTGACAAAGTCCCACCTGCATCACAATAGGCACTCAGTGTAGCGAGGATACAAAACTAAATGTTTCTGGAGCTTGATTCCACTCAAGGATGGTGGGAGCTACTACATGCGCACCTCCTCATACAACGCCAGGTGGGTTACTGAGCTGCACCTCAAGCAAACACTGTATTTATAGTGCTGGGCAGTGAATTAGCTCCTATCTAATTTGTTAAAGAACTCCCCCTCCTGCCCCCCTTTCATTATCTGTCATGAATGCATAAATAAACGGATAGGGCAGAATGTCAGCTTTAAGATGAGACTAAAAACCAGAAAAGCCAAATCCAAAAATTTTAGGGTATACCCCCCCCCCCTTAACTAGAGTGCAGATCAAGTCATGAGACTGAGAGACTCCT